AGAGAAAGAGAGAGTAAGAGATAGAGAAAGAATGAGAGAGAAAGAAAGTCTGCGCGCTAGAGATAGCGTCCGCGTGCGATAGAGAGAGAGAGAAAGAGAAAGAATGACTAAAACAGGATTGGAAAGAATAAATTGGGAAGAATGGAGCGGAATAGAAAAGTACCTATCGTAACAAGTGCTGAGTGAAAGGAATTAACTGTTGTTGTTGTGTAAATTATCCGCACACGTAAATTATGGAGAAACAGTTTTAGCAGAATAATCATTTTTCTCCATTTATCGATTTCGTATAATGTACTGGGAAATCTTTAAGACAAGAATATAAATATTACGGAATACAGCAGATAATAGAATTATAAATAGAGAATAAAAGAAGTTACGTTCTTCAATGTGTAGAAGTTTTGTGCAGTGTACAAATACCGATTTTGCTGTTTCTATGAGTGAATATTTTCTTACATATTAATTGTGATTTTGTTTTAATCGCATTACAATAAATCAGTATTAATTTCGATTTTATTTAAACAAAATTTACGTGGCTCATGAATAAAGAGAATTATTATTTTGATCAAATATTTTTCATCGAGACCAGTAAAATTGATGTTCATTCGAATCATCTTTCCCTGACTTTGGAACGACACATGCATCTATGTATTTAATATTTTAATCGAAGTAATATCAAATGTTCTTCTTCTCTTATTATCCAACAAACTACTACAAGAAAGAATATTGTATTTACATTTTTTACTGTTCATTGGTGTGTTCACAGAACATGTTGAAGTCTTTTGGAATTGCAAGTGATCCTGCAGTGTCGTTCTGCGGTTGATAAATGGATTTCCAAGAGGATCATGGGAGAGGCAAACGTAACGGATTAATTATCAGGAAAAATTCGGAAAAAAATGTAGATATCGAGAATCGTTGCGCGATCCAGTAGCCATTATTCCCTTCCTAATCGGTGTGATGGGCGCAAAGCTCGAGGCTCGAACATGGAATCACACATTCACGCAAGCTGCACTCGGACGGACACGTGAGAGAGGAAGAAGAATATATGGGCGCTGTTGATACGCAAAATATATATTATAATATATAGTATACAATTCATACAATATATATACATATATATTATAATATATGCAACATGAGATCGATAATATCAGAAGTATAGCGATAAAGACGAAGAAGAAAAGTTAGAAGAGAATGATAGTGAGATAGAAATGGAGACGAGAGGGTTCAGTGCAGGGCACACGCTCGCGCACACGTACATACAAACATATGTAGAAAACTTTTGGGATGTGATTTCACACGGGTCACAACAACGCAGAGAATATATCATATCTATGTATACGTCTTCGTGTCTTGTATATCATATATGGACGAAGTGTATGGGGTGTGTCGTGAAAGGTGGCCGCGATTTTTTCATTTCTTACCAATAGTAATAAAATATAATAATACACGAGGGTGTTAGATCTCATTCGTTTCTATAAAATCATTGTTTCTTTCTAAATCTTCAAGTTCCGCATGAGAGCAACGGATCTTGAAAATTCCTATTATTTTCATCCCAAGTAAATACTGAGTAGTAGTAACAAATCGATAGCAATAAACAGACTAAACACTTATCTATTCAGTTTCGAATTTTATCATTAGATTTTTCATCGCTAATTTACCCTCGACTAGGCCATATTTCATGGAACACCGTGTCATGTATACGCGCGTCTTGTTCACGTCGGGGCAGCTAGAGATTCCCGCGAGCTCTCACGGTTTCGTACGCGTTTCCGTATTCCAAGCGGCGCGTCTAGCCGCGATTGATCATCCCCGCGCGGAAACAAATTTAATAATTCACGAATCACCGAGGACAACGATATCCTCGAAGAATCTTTAGCCGTCCCCACAAGACACGCATTATTCCCGAACAGAGACCGTTTGTAACGGTCATAGTATATCGTATGTCTGTAACTGGCAGGTTTCTGTTTCTGTAAACGGACTTGTGTTTCTTGTTCAACACATGTAAAAGAGACTGCACGTAACATCAAAGTCGGGACACGGACATATGTTTCGGACGACGTTAAGATCGCGTACGGATCGTTCTCTCGTCCGACCGTTTTCTTTTTTTTTTCTTGTGTTTTCCAACGATCGTCGCGATACCTCGGAGCCGTTCGTCGCTGAACGGTATTAACCGCTTAGGTGAATCTCGCATGTGGACCATGCCGTCGACGTGTAACTCACCTCTCGTTGAAGGTCTCCTGGCGCGCGTAGTTTTGCAGACTGCCCTCGTCGATTAAGAATTTCATCCTCTCGAAGAACGAGGCGGTGATGGCCGGCGGCTGCTTTCGCAGAAGTATATCGATCGGCTTGGGTGCCGACACGCAAAGCTGACTGCTACGACATGTATGATACGAGCAACATTCCGGATCCGCGCAATCAATGAGACCGTCTGGAAACACGTTATTGCGAGTTTAGACGAATTGCTCGCGGAAAGAATCGTCGCTGCTTCATTTGACGATTCTGATTCATTTATAGGGTGCGGTGATCGATTGGAAATTCCCCGTAAACTGAAGAATTTTTATGAACTCAAAGATTAATTGTATAGTTTCGTGTTTAGGCTTGATAATTCTGGTATACGAACAAATGAATAACAATGTAATTATTATAGTTTCTACGATGAGCAATTTTATCGAGAATAATGCAAAGTCAAGCAGAAGTGGTGCCTTTGTTTTCAATGCACCGTACTTAAAATAATAGTATATAGAACAGTTGGTAAATATTTCAAGTAACAGTTAGTTAAAAGTAATTGTTCATTCCAGCTTTGTTATTATGACTTCTTCTTTACCTAGCCTTCCCATGTTATCCTTTCCTATTTTTATTGTGTATTACCCTTTTCATTCTTGAGAAATAAACAAGATATCTCGTTGCTAGTGAAGTTGTAGGTAACAACATGTTTTGGTAGATAGAAAATGTGACGCGTCTTGTATACGGAAGTTCAGAATGGAATTGCAGTGTACCATGTGCTCTATACCTTTGTCATTGTCTCTTCCGTCGTTGCAATTCTGTTCAAGGAGCACATTGCAATCCTTGCCATCCCAGCCGTCGTAGCATCGGCACTCCCACTGGCCATCGTTGCCGACCCTGCACTGGCCGTGCCCGGAACAGGAATTCGGGCAACCTTCCATGGTGCAGTGCTTACCATTCCAGCCGGTCACGCACAAGCAGGTTCCATTCTTGCATTGGCCATGCTCGTTGCAACGTGGATCGCACTGTTTCAGATTGCACAGATCACCAGACCAACCTGGTAGACAGTCGCAAGCGTTGTCCACGCAATGGCCGTGAGGGCCACAGTCTAAATCGCATAGTTCTAAAAAGGAGGACGGAACATTGTGACTTACACATTCGAAATACGTATCTCTGATTGTATATACTTGTAAACGTTAGTTGCTGCAAACAGCAAATCAAGGGAAAAGCAATTAACTTCACCCACAGAAATTAGATTTTTATTGAATGAATGGTTGTTGGGAATAACACAAGTGTTTTTTCGGCGCACAAGAAGCTTTAAGGAATGGAAAGGGTTACTGGTATGGAACCTAGAAAGAAGAATACTAATTGAAAGTGAATCTTCGGTAATAGTGAATGATTTGATACAGTAAATATATATATGACTAAAAATATTGTTTCTTTTAATATCCTTGTATAATATAATTAAGAATAAAAGCTGTGAAATTAATATGTTAACGATCTGCTTTCAAGAATTGATTCATTTGATTAATCATTGTTTCTGTTTCCTCGAAAATTTTCCTATACATATCTTCTGCAGTCAAATATACCTTCGAGTGTCGAAGTGACAGATTACTAGCGTAAAATAAATAAACAAAGATCTCTTTATAGTCTTTTAAGTCTTTAAGTCTTTTAATGTAGAATTCTCGCGATTTATTTAATCTTTCATTAAAGTCTTTTAGTGTAGAATTCTAGCAGAGCAGGAAATATCGATAAGGGTCGTTACCTTTCGAACAGTCATCGCCAGACCACATTGGCTCACAGAGACATGTCTGAGTTTCAAGATCGAAGTTTCCATGTCTGCTGCAGTCCGGCAGACACTGAAGTGCCTCCTTGTCCATTTGACTGCAATCGGGTCCTTTCCACCCCTTTTTACAAATACACGTGCCGTCCGCGCAGAAACCGTGGCCGGAGCAGGTGGGATGGGGACAGTCCACTTCCTCGCAATACTTTCCTTTGTAGCCGCGCACGCAATTGCATTTCCCATTAGTGCAATGACCATGCCCGTTACAATCGGGTACTTCGCATTCGTCATGTCTCAACGAGCATTCTTTCCCTTTCCAACCGGGGTTGCATTGGCACTCTCCGTTTATGTATTCTCCTACAATTCAGAAATACCAAATAGATATACTGTAGACATTCGTAAATAACAATGGCAACAATTATTACAGCTGTGAGGCTTATGAATTCAAGATTAATAAGAAAATTGCAGGCGCTTAGGAAAAGTGCAAGCTGCAACTGAATGCGCAAGAAATAGTTTTTTTAACGAAACATTTACTCAAGAGTTTTATATTCTACTAATTTTATCGTAATTTATGGTAATGTAATTTAGAAAATGATTAATATCTCATATAATAGTCTTTTTCGAACACCTTCCAATAAATTTTATTGTATTCAAACTATCGTAGAGTGATTTATGCTAAGTTCAGAAGTCTACATAATTCGATTACTTTCAAGATATATAACGAAGTTATGTAAAAAGTACATATTCGAAATAATTTATGGTTTATGCAAAATCTTTTTTGTGGCTATTTATTTCGGATGTAATTCTTGTACTGGGTTATCGAGTTATTTATCGTTAAGGTGTTAATCAAATCCAGAGCTCTTTATTTTTGCATTTCTTACACTTAACGTTAACTCACCACGTTGACTGCACAGAACTGGGCAAACGCTTTCGCTACAGTCCTCACCCCCGAAACCAGGGATACACTGGCAATGGCCCAGAAGGCATTCACCTTTACCGCTGCAACCGTTTGGACAATTGTGCGTCATGTCTTCGGCGATTACAGCTATGAAAGACACTTCCTGTGGATCTCCGTCGTCGTTATACAACGACAGAAACCAATGACCAGGTTCCATGTAATTGATAACTTCTTTCTTGATCGAAGGCTGCAGCAACGGAAATTCATATATTTTTTATACGAATTCAATTACTTTCGATAATTCAACTACGTATGTTCCGCTTTTAGGGAAAAAATTAAAAAAAAAAGTGACTAGATCATCGTTACTGTGCCAATACATTGCTCTGTTAATATAAAAAAATATGAAATAAATATTTCAGTAATTTATATATATATAAGAGCAACTTGATTCGTTGATTTTGAGAATCGAATACACGACGATTTTTTATCGAGTCATTTCATCAATTTTCACGTTTCGTTTTCTTTTCTTTTTTTGGTTTTCGAATTATCTCAAATTTCAAATCAATGCATGATACAGTATTATTGTAGTATCTCCTGAATTATCTTTTGCTTTCAGGAACTCGTCCGAACTGTCTCTTCATAGATTTTTAATTATATCATTACTATCGTCTCGATCTCTTTGTTAGAGATGGTCTAAAAATGATTATAATATCTGAAACCTGTTATAAGAAGTATTAGAGCCAGCTAACGTTATATTCGTTAATTATCCGAAACTTATTTTCGTGTTTACTTTCATGGCCGTTGACGGATATTATTGTTTAAATTAACAAAGTTTCGATCTAGGACCGAATTTGTTTAAGTTCGCTCTTCCTTACTGTTCTTAATCGTTGATCAATTGATTTTTTAGATGGTCCTTTCGAAAACATGAGAAGTATAAAGAGGTAGCGTTACGTCGAATGATTTACTTTGCAAATAATTAAGCATATTTTGCAGTGTACGGATAGTCTCAACTATGTCATGCGAAAGATCGAACACCAAAATATAGGAAAATTCATGAAAGGACGCGACGTTTACGAATGCTAAAAAATAAAGTAAAATGGGGCAGTGGCACATACAATAACACTAACATGGGACGCCCGAGTGGTCCTGGCTTTGAAACCACTCAACACCTCCAGGAGATCGTACTGCGTGTGCGTGGGAAGTGCGTTCCTTCGAGCGTAGACACCGATACTGGCACCACGTGGGATATTGTAGTCGAACCGCACATACGCAGCTTCCGACTGGTAAAACTGCATGTTCCAGTAGCTGTACGGTGGAATTTCCTTGCTCAGCTTCTGTCCCAAGGCGACTTGGGCGAAAGTCGTTCCGTCAGGTGGGAAAGACCTGGCGGGAAAAGTTCTCGCACCTGGATAATTGGAAATGAACGACCTTAGTAAGCCAAACACGGTTTCTTTTGTATAGAATATCAGTTTTCTACGGGGCGATGCAGAGATTCCGAATGTCATGAATTCGGTTTATGAATATTTCTCTTTGAAATTTTGATTTTGTAGATGCCAGGGACGGGACATCATTTGTGGTACAACTGAGCAAGATGATAAAGAATTTTTCTATTTGTTGAGAAATTATTAATAAAAAATAGATTGTTTATGACTTTTCTTTTACAGTTATCCAGAAAAATGAATTTCTGATTGACGATACGCAGAATTTCACGAAACCGCTGTTTGTTATCGTCAGTGTGAAAATAAAAGGAATAGAGTAAGTTTGATATTTAGTTATTTAATTGATGAAGGTTTGACAAACATTGGGAAATGCAATATTATAACTGAAAACTCCAATAATTAACAAAATTGTAGATTCTATATAAGAATAAAGTTAGAAATTATTAATTCATCGCTTCGTATAAGTGATTATTCTCTTTCTAGTTGCACCGTCAATTACTTCCCATTTTGTATTTAATTGTCACATTAATGGAAAATAGTCCCCGTAAGAAAACTACATATTTCTCTTTGATCATGATATTAAATAATTGCGAGGCTTTATACTTGGCTAGGCTTTGCGCGTCAGCGAATTTTCTGTACTTTTATGTCATTTTACATGAACTAATCGCGTTAATTGCAACGTCATTTTCTTTATTATATGATTTTAACTTAGGCGCATCTACATTATTTATAATTTTTCTTATATTCTTTTTTTCTGACTACTCATCATTTCTTTTTATAACATGATAAGTTATCTAAATAATTTAAATGATTCTTACAAGTATAACTCTTTTACCCAATCATATCACGTACTTCTGTCACCATCACCATTTTATTAAGGATGCAAGAATTACTTTGATGACACATAAATCACGATGCATCACTACAATGTTACAAAATTAGGCAACTACTAAGTTATTACGGACAACGAAAATCGAACATACACGGTGGTAAAAGAAAGTTAAAAGTACGCGTGGTAATAAAACACACATAATTGCATAGAGAAAAATATAAGTTGCAAAAACATGATCTCTCATTTTCAAGAGTTCAGAGGAACTTTAAATCAAGCATGAAATTTCAGTTTCCTCGCGGAAAGAGAAGAGATCAAAACTCGTTTTGAAACAATATTTTTGAAAATGTATATTTTTCATTATGCGCAATTTTTAATTTCAGTATACCAATTTTTAAAAAACGTTCACGAAATATTCGTAACACTCGTTTTATTTTACCTTTCCACCAACTTTGAACTTTCTTCAACCACCACCGCTATTAAACCAGTACACATCGATTCAAGCAAAGAAGAAGCCAGCATAGCAGAATAAGTAAAAAGTTCAGAAATCGGAAAACACCATAATAAGAAGATAGAGTCAATCACAGAAGAAGATGAAGAAGAAGAACAAGAACAATAACAAGAACAAGAAGAAGAATAAGAAGAAGAAGAAGAAGAAAAAGAAAAAGAAAAAGAAAAAGAAAAAGAAAAAGAAAAGATTGAAACAGTTATCGTTCGAGAACGACCATAAACGGGGCCTCACCTTCCAAGATCAGTATAGTGGGTTCAGGGGGTAATGGGGTTGTCCCAGAGCACGCAGGCACAGTACTTTCGGTCTCGTAATTCATGGTGGACCATTCTGTGGATCCGGTATTTTCCTCTGTCGTTACGGAATAATTCTCGGTGCTTGTCGTTACCGAATCTTTCGTAACAACTGAAACCTCTTTCTCTTTATCTCGTTCGACATCTTTCCCATCGATCGTACTCTTTAGCCCTAGATCGGGCGGTTCGTCCATTGAGAGGCTCGAATTGTCGGGCGCATCGTATAAGTTCGGATTCTCGTCGTTTTCTGGAAAATTGTCCCACTCGTCAGAAGATGAACCCATGCAGGGGCAAGAGCATTCGCATTCGCCACCGGCCCAGATGGGCGGCGGCGGCGAAGAGGGCGGCTGCGGAGGCGGAGGAAGTCGGTTATCGTTTTCCATCGACGCTGGATTCGCGACGCTCGCCGTGTTAGCATTCTGGCTCTTTTCATCCTCGCGCGGCTGAACTTGCTCCACGTTCACCCCCGAAGACGATTCACCGTTCGTAGGCACCGAGACCGAGAGAACGTAAAGCGGTTTCGAAGCTGCAGGGTCTCCCGAAGCGATTGTTATGTTCACAAGCACTCGAGATGATGAGGACGAGGATGAAGATGAGGACTCGGCATGTTTACCGTGGACAGGCACTTCGACGATTTGAACTTGTTGAACTACGGGTGAAGTTTTAGCTTCAGTGGCGTCTGGTAATTTTTTAGGACCATCGTGACTCTTGGAGGTGGAGTCCTCGACGCGATCAGTTTCAGCAGATTTCTCTCGGTAATTCTTCTCAAATTCGAGCAGGAATTCTTCGTCGTTATCTTCCCTGGTGATCACTCGCAGATCATTGGCTTGGTGGACCGTGCGCGGGACGTTGAGCGTTTCGAAGCCACGCTGCTTGCCCTTTACGCTGGTGCCATCGCCTTTTTGGCTTAGTTTCACGATCTCCACCTCTTCGTGGCCATAATTATAAATTGGTAAAGGATAGTCCCGTTGGAGTTCCTCGGATTCTTCGGAAGTCTTCGCGTGACTCGGTGCATCAGACTCCGAGGAGGACTCCTCCCGGGAGAGCTCTCGGGTTTCTTTCACGACATCGGACAAATTAGAAGCGTTCCCATGGTTCTGTACTTCTACCTCGTGATTTTCGCCTTTCAAATCGTCTTCCTTGTTTTCTGCATTCCCTCTTACCTCGTCTGTAGATTTTGACGAAGAATTCGGAGTGACTTCTGGCGGTACGAAATTTTCGTCGGAATTACTTACGCTCGAGGATTCGACGGGACTCTGGCTGAAATCGAGCTCGCCAGCGGTTGTAGCGTCTACGACCGTGCTCTGTTTTACTAATTCTAGATTGCTCTCCGTGGATTCTATACTACTGATGCTAGCACTACTGCTATCGTACTCAGTGTTCGTTGAACTTTTCACGATTATCGACTCGGCATCTCCGGTACCGATACTTTCCCCAAACTTCTTCTCGCGACGCGGAGTCTCTCGGTAGCCCCGAGAGACATTTGAACTTCCGGTGCGTTCGACGTTAACATTGTCCATCGAATCAACAGACCGGGTAAACTCGTTCATCTGGACTTCTGCAATACCGTCCTCGCGATTCTCGATGGTAACTGGATCAGTGCTGGTGACGATCCAAGTGTCCTCGTGTTCGTCACTTGACGCGGCTTGGGTCGATTCCGAGCTATCGCTGCTCCAGGACCCGGTCGGGCTCTCTAAAGGCCGCTTTGCTGGTTCGTTAAGTGAAACGAAGGAGGAGGAGGAGGGAGAAGGCGAAAAAGCGGACGAACGATCGGTGCTGCGAGGGTCAGTTGCAACAGAGGCGGAGGCTAGGTCCACGGAAACAGTGGTATCGGTCGAATCACGCGAGTAGTTAGTAATCGAAGAATCAGAGACGCCCAAAACAAGCACCGTTCCCGAGGGACCTGTCGATCCTGATCGCTCGGGCTCATCTCTTAGCGGGTTTTTGGTAGTAGTGTGGTCGCCGATGGCCTCTTCCACCCAAGGATTATACACGTACTCAGTTTGATACTTGTTAACCTTACCGAAACGATCCTCGTCTGAAGAGATCGTTTGCTGCTCAGACATCGAGGTCTCTTCCGGCACCTCGGTCGAGGGCAGCTCGTCAAGGTATTTAGAGGATACGACAGTTTGGTGCAATGCATGCTGGTTAAAGGTGTCCCTACGATTACGGATGTACACGTGCTTTAACATGCGAGCCGATGGGTTAATACTACCTCCGGAGGGTGCTTGTTGTCTTGTCCTGCTGTTGGATTGCGACGACGATGCGACCGCTGTCGAGGACGTCTTGTTCGCCTCGGCGGACAACACCTTAGGGTCCGCATTCTCGCCGACCATCACCGTGCACGCTTTTGTACCTTGGTAAGATCGGTTTACTATACTGGATACTGGAACGGAAAGACGATCGTTAGAAATTTCGTGTGTTCAGTTTGTCTGAACTGAATGTCGCATTTGTCTTTTTCGAGTGGCAGGCGTGGCACGAATTTAGATGGAAGATTATGTTCAAGATTAACCACTTGTCCTATGATTTCTTTCACAACTGTGCTTGATACAACTACTTTATCGTTAATAATTTAATAGGGAAAGAAAAGAATTTTAGGATTATTCTGTACCTATGTTTACTCAAAAACTTAAAGATTGATGATAGATAATATATAATTTCTACGTTTGCTAAATTCGGTTGAAAATTTTGATAACGCGAGTCAGACTTGATATTATAGGAAAAGAGGTTAATCTCTTCAATAGCGAATTGTTTAAGAATAGGTAGAAATGATTCGAATTCTCAGATAGTTATACTTTGAACTGTTTAAATAGGTAAGAGCTTTTCATTAAATTCATTTTAAGCATCGACTGATAACATCAATATAATGTATTGACGGCTATTGAGATAGATTTACGTCATTTTAATATCTATAGCAATTTCCTACTGACACAGTTCTGAGCTATTTTATATTTTGTACTTTATTATTCGGATCACTGAGGACCACAGCTTTCTAAAAATAAAGTGATGTTACAAGATGTCCAAATCCAGAACATACAATTATTATGTTATGTGAGGTAGCGATGTCATTAATGGAAAATTATTTCATTGTCATGTAAAAATATTTAACAAATTTTTCAAGTTTTCATTCCCATTCTAATAATAGAAGCCTTGCTTTGTAGTTTTTTGAAATTATATGTAACATCTATCTGAAGCTCTGACGTCAGAACTGCCCAGTGCACAAAGGTTAACAATATTTACTGGAAAGTTGCAAAGACCGTGATATAGAGAGAGAATCGTTCCGAACAACAACTATAAACTTATCTATAATAATAGCAATGAAAACGAACAACGAAAATGAAATCAGAATAATCATAAATAAACTACTGATAGTAAGTATATTTTTCAAACTTCACGCAAGCAGAAGCTAAGGAGAATAATAGCTTTTTATATAGAAAGTATATTACATAATAGAAAATATAGAGTGAAAATGTATTCTTACGTAAAATGCGATGAAATTCCGTTATCTATTTAACACTAGAACTATCGAGCACTTAAACTGACTTTTCAACATTTCTTTAGAAGAACTACAAACGTAGATTTATTAAGATTTCAATTAGCTTATATTTCAGTTTAAGTATTACTAAATGAGCTTCGGTAATTATTTTTCAAAGAAGTATGTGTACCTTTACAGCAATTGTAAAAGAAGCAGTTAGAAATTGGTCATTTTGATCCACCTAGTAGTTCTAGTGTTAATCATTTAATCTAGGCATTGTGCTTACGATGAATGTAAATTTGATGTTTACTCACCTACTACATAGGCCAAAGCCGCTGTTATACATAACGAGACCATCAGCAATATCATTGCAATTAATTTCCAACTGCACCAATCGACCCCTTTGACAAAATGGCAACGAATGCTTTGTCTCCTCATTGGAATCATCGAGGACGTGTGGCCGTACGGTAAAGGTACCCTGAAAACCATCAACATCAGTTTCATTTAATTTCCGTCTAAGCAGAACAAACTATATATATATATATAATTAAAAACAATTTAAAAAAGATTCTCAAAAATAAATCTGTTAAATAAATTCGGTATTTAAATATACATATTCACCGATCAATTTTCAGAAAAGAAATCTGAAAGTAAATTCTTTCCCAGCGTGAAATATTATATGGCGAACTCTAAATTCAAATCTTTTGAGATATAATTAACATCTCTGCAAACTCAACTGCTAGATATTTGTGTAGCTATAAAGATACACGTAGAGTCTGAGATTTAGTAATAAGACTAACATAAATGTTTAGGATTTGTTATTATTCTAAAAGCATTTGAACAAATCTGTTAGTAGTTACGTTGAACGCGAAAGTTGCTTCCATTAAATAGGTATTTCCCTAATGATCCTGGCTATTTAGCTTGATCCGTAAAGTGGTGTTCGCTATAGCGCAGCGCAAGCGTAATGCCGATTTCAAAGAGGACGGAGCAGCGTTACACGGCGTTTGATACACGGGAAAATATATTTGTGCACGTCGTGTGCTTCCACGCGAAGGCATAGCCCTGGAGTATGTTTATACTGAACGTCGGTCGCTTCCAAGTAACTCAGAAATGTCTAACAAAAATATTTAAACGGGATGGCCGGTTCCCGAGTGTGGGGTTGCCTGTTTGCTTTCGTTGCATGACGCGATAATGGAAAACGAAAGCCAGGCGCAACCGACGTCTTCGCGGAGGTCTTTCTCCACTTTCTTGTTCCGAAAAATCACATAAATTCCTCTCTTCTCGCGGCCAGCTTCGTCAGCAATCGTTAGCCTTTCTGACCGATGAATTAAGGAAACCTTCTTACCCTGAAGAATCAACAAATTTAATTTTCCTTATATTTTCTTGCAATTTCCTTTCTCCATAGTCAAACTCAGAAATGTGAATGCTCGGCGGTATATGAAAAATGGGATTGAAGTACTTTCAACGCGGGGTTTCAGCTAATTTAAATTTAGTTGGCCAATAACTTTAATGAAATTCTGGGAAGACAGTTTTGGAAGATGCATTGCAAGTCTTATTAGACTGATCATTAACACTTTGACTACCACGTAAACACTCATCAAAACTCCCATATACTTGAAACAGTCTTCTTCATTAACAAGAAACTGAGAAGTAGAGATTCTTCCTAGTAGTTGCTCCACTATCTTTCTTATATCTCGTATATCCAACAAAATTCGGTTTGTTCGATACGTCACCAAGAAAATTAATGTCCAAATTCCTGTGAAAAATAGTGTCAACCGAAGTTGGGTAATGTGGCAGTCAAAGTGTTAATGTAGAAGAATTAAACTCTTCCCTTACAATATCGTGCCATACACGAGGCGAAGCTTTCTAATATGGTTTAACAAACCTAAATGTCATTGAGTTGTGCTCAGTTTAAATGAAACATCGTTCTTGTTAGCAATTTGTATGATTTATATTAAATCTAAACATGGAAAGAGCATGGAATGTTTTCTTTTACTAGTGCATTATTAACGATAAATAGTTCGAACAAATGCACCTACGAAATTCAATCGGCAAGGGGTTAAGAACGTGGGCTCCTGTTCTCGTAAAACTGCTATAATTTTGGTAAAACTCAATATTTTTAGTTACAAGAAATATGTCAAATTGTTGAAATACGTATTAATAAATGTACTAATATCTGGAGTTAGGCACAGATATATGACATTATTAGAATTCCATAAAAAATATTTACTGCGAGCTTCGTTTTGAAATTTTCATGAAAGTTCAATTGATATTTCACGATAAGAAGACGGACAATAAATAACAGACCGTTTATGTTAATTGTAACATCCCTTTAAACTTTTCTCATAATTATATCAACATTTTCTTTCTTTTATTATAAATACAATATTTACACTATATGACTGCTTGGACAGAATCATCTGCAATCAACTGTATTCCATGATCTTGAAAGCCTTGTAATTCCTAAATTCAAGAAGTCACGGTCGGATGCGTAGAGGGTTTCGATCCCCAAGCAGTCCTCAAGAATGGGATCCCCGTAGTGACAAAGTCTACGACCGTTTAGCAAATTTCGAGTGCACAGTCAAGGGTCCAAGGGTTCTAGGGACGCGATTTTTCATGGTGTACAGTGAACACGCGGACAAAAACCATTTTTCGATCGATGACACTTCGCCTTCAAACATTGACTCATTGTGCGACATCATTTGAATAGACGATTCACTGGAGTCGAGTACATATACCCTCTTCAAGAAGAAGAAGAAGAAGAAGGAGAAGAAGAAGAAGAAGAAGGAGAAGAAGAAGAAGAAGAAGAAGCCAGCAACGTCACGGTTCATTCATTCCAATGGAATCTTCGTTTCGCCGAAAAATTTCCACTTCTTCTTCCCCCTTTTTTTGTCAGTGATTGAAAAAGCAGTAAGGTTACTACCCGAGACGGTAGCAGGAAAATTGAAATAGGCTTACCTGTCCATGTTGTTCTGCAGTTCGACCTTTATTGGACTATTCCCCGTAGACTGATTCTTGTTGTTGTACTCGCTCTTCGGTATCTCTGCGAAAAAGAGAGAACAGAACGATAGAGAAAATTTGTTACGTTGCAGATCGACGAAATTTCTCGTGGGAAACGCTGCCCTATTTTCCTCCCTAACTTTTATCCATCTCCTATGTGTAATATCTTTACGCTGCCCATCGCCGCTTCAACGTGCAAAATAATTCATTCACGCAGACGTCTGAACGTTTGCCATTGCAGACGTGGAGTCAAGAGTTCCGGATGGAATTCATTGAATCTTCAGAACGTGGTAAAATATTTTGTACTTTCAATAATGCAGCGTTTCAGTGAAAGTCGTTGTACTCTCAAAATTAGTTTTGGATTTGGGTTTGATAATAATTGTGCTTCAACTTGGAATACAAAAGTTCCTTCGTACGTCCTTCGTGTCTATTCAATATTCTAGAGTTGCGCAAGAGGTTGTCCTCTTACGTGACGTTTTCTAATGCGACATTTGAGTCACTATAAATAATAAACTGGTCGTTTTTACTCTTTGAATGTTTATATTATAAAATAAGTGCAATTATTAACTCATTATACCTGAGATTTTACAACGTTCGCTCTATCTACGAAATTACTGTAATTTAAAATGAAAATACAAATTGAAAAACATAGAGATATAAATTTCAAATTACTTCTGGAAAGGCAGATCACGTGGTAGTAAAAAGCGACCATTTCTAATGTCAATGTTCTTATTATATACTATCTACATAGAACAATATTTCGGAGATTACAATTATTACATATTTCCTAGGGTTTCTATCAATATCTTTTTGATATTTATTTTTGATTACACTGATTTGAATTATGTATACGATCTAGAGTCTAACGAATATCAACTGTATTCCAACTGCAATGTAACAACGTACTTTCATGTACTACTGATCGAAATAGATTCTTATATTTTAAACGAACACACTAAAAACAGTCGTTTGAAATGCGTAGAGGAAATAACCTAAAAATGATGGTCTATTAGCTATAAATCTATCGATGATCAGTCGATGATCAAAGAAGGCATTCAATGCGCAACATGTCGATAAACTAAGCTACAATTTTATAGCATCGATGGCCGACGTCTTAATTAGCCCCTGCTATCAACAGATGCATTTATTACGGATTTCTAATTGGCGAGGTACACATAATTAGAAAGGGCACAGGAACTGTGTCTGCGGTGGCCAGCAGGTTCCAGGGGAAAATAAATTAATGATGATCGTTTCACGTTTTGCGATGCCAGACGCGACGCCTTTTCTTTTGAGCATATTCCCCGATATACACGAAGAACGAGGAAAAAGAGGAAAGAGTGAGAGGGTGAACGAGGCCCGTGTTGAATCGATAAGTACATGATTCATCGTGGTTTCGGTTTGAATTTCAAGCGACCAAACCGCACGCTGCATGATGAAAACTGAACACCTTAGAAACACCGTAAGATAGTACCACGCACCGCGCCATAAAATCGATGGCGGTCTTCGTACGGCGCCAGTAATCGATCCGAAGTTTCTTTTCACAAGTTTCTTACTTAATTTAATTATGTCCGCTCGCGCAACGTGAACTCTTTGACGGAGAAAAGTAGGACGAAGATTACAAAGGGAAGAAGTATATAGTTTGCACTCAATATTGTAATACTTCCGTTAAAAATGTAACTTATCCAAATTTTTCAACGATTTACAGTGTCTAAGAGTGTTGGTGAGGGGTAGATACCACCAATGAATAATACTATTTTGTTTTATGAAAATTAAACAAAAACTTGCTTTGCAGTCAAATTCATTGTTATTATTCGTCGTCCGTTATTTGTACACTGAAATTTCTCTATAACTCAACTTTATATAAACATGTTTAGAAATTTCCAAAACAGAAATTAAGTATTAAACCTATCAGAGATGCTACGAATCCATAAAGACTCACAGAAAAGATAAACATTTTCACAAATAATCTATTCCAAACGCATAATTCACTACTCAATCATTCAAAGAAGCAAAAGTCGAATAATTTCAATCTGAAGAGGAAAAACTGATTATAAAACAATGAATAAAACCGTTTGTGACCCAGAAAAAGCTTCATTTTTACAGGTGGAACAGGTTTACTAAGCATTTTCGTTCAATTTAGTGAGAGCACCATCAGCCGCACGAGTTTCGAGCCCGTTCTTCTTCGCCCTCTACAACTCCATATAATATCAGATTGAAGGGTAGAACGCTGTCCAACATTCTTCGGAAATTCCATGAAAGAACACGCGACCACAAAGGAATATCCTGAACTTTCATCTTTCACGGATTATCGAAAGAACATCGGAGCTGTTCCGTTCCAAAGGTAGCCACGAAAATCGTTCCCCGCCGCCCCGTCGATTTTGATAGGAAGAACAGGTAAAAGGATCGCGCACTTCCTACGTATCAGTCCCCCTTGTCTTCCCTTGAACAAAATCTGCTGGTTCACCCTTCGCCCAAGTTGCATGTGCCCTGCGCGAGTATGAAATCGGAGCGTGGGAAGACCCAGACCCGTGAAAGCGGACCCCATGCCGCTACTAATTGCAGGTGTTGCCGGTCGTTCGGCTCCAAAATCCGATGATTATGGCGTTTAGGCAGATATCCGTGATTACGGCGATTCAGGGGTTCGCTGGTCGAGTTCTGTTCTGCTTCTTTTGGCCAATGATTGGCCGCACGGGACTACGACTAATCCCTCTGGTCGGATAAAGTGGGATTATGTCTATGGTTAGCGCGTTGGAATTAGTTTTAATGATCGACCGGCTGGATGATATAGTGTTTTCATGGTTCTACGCGCTTGAGACGCAACTTCGCCTTTGACAGGAGTTCACCGTGCCGATTATTTACTCAACTCGCGAAATTTAATGGGGTTTTGCGTATTACAGCACGCTTGTCAGAATTTATTGCTACGATTAGATCGAAGATCTGACGCACTTGTACCAAACATTTTTCGATAAAAGTAAGAATTCCTTCAGAAGCAAATTAAATGTTCGTGTCTGTTCTCGCTTGATGTCTTTAATCGTTGAAGCAAATTTTTCTCTGAGTTTTAACTTTACTAATATGAAACTTCAGATGATTGAAGTTCCAGGTAACATTCTTAAACAGAAACTATACTACATGGAGCAACGAAGGAAGTTAGATAATTAAGTAATGAAGCAGGACGTTTCATAGCTTTCTAAGTTACGTATCTTCCATATGTCTTCTTATAGCATTAATCTTCACATTCATTTCATTTATCAATCATTCCGTGTTCCCTGCAACGACAACTTCAGTCCTATCGATTCCTATCCCTTCCTCCGAACAGTTTACATTGTGTCAGATTCCAAAGAGCGGAACGACTTCCAGCAAAAGAAGGAAACCAGAAATAGAAACTCGAGTAAGAAGAACGCGGCGAAGAATGCAAAGAATGTAAGACGTTCATTGAGCGGGCAAGTCCAGCGAGGGTAGTGAAACCGGGGCAGAGATTGTCGCATCGGCGAAGGGAAGAAGCGGCGCCGAGAAGATTCGACCTTAGGCGGAGCTTGGTATTCTACGGAAGGTTATAAGCGTCAGTCGGTGTCATAACCGAGGGTCAATGAGTCGAGAGATCATAAATCACCGTTCGAACCGTCCCACGCTTTCGAAAGGATGGCTGGTTGCTTTGAAGTGGCGCAAGGTTCTGCGTAAAAGAACGTTAAGTATACAGATGGCCAGGGGAAAAGCCGTTTCTGGCGCCTGGTGCACGGTTTCCACGAGGACCCGTGGAAAATTTCTCGAGTCTCTGTTGCACGCGAAGCCAAACAAGAAAAGAACTTGTCCACGGCTGTCTAAGGGTGCTTGTGCCATCGGCCCTGTTCCCGGGTTCCTCCGCGGAACACGGGGAGCCACTCGAACCTTCGAAAAGGTCGGCCCCGTTGTTTTCCCCGGTGTCGATACACCCATGGTGCTAAAGTGTCTCGGAAACGTTGTTCTCGAGCGTGCTTTTCTCCTCTCGAGTGCATTCAACTCGCTGGCATCGACCACCGCCGCGCCGGAGAGAATTTCACGGGTTATCGTTTCTGGTAAATTCGAGTGCCCCGTTCGAAAGATTCTCCAGTGTCCTCTGTGGGGCAGTTTTCCACTTTTCAGCCTTCGGGATCAATGGAAATTGTTTCTTTGAGTGGAAGTCAGTATCCTTGAGTGAACAAATGTACCTACTCGTTCTTTAGCGTTCCAGTGATTTATCGTATTTCTGCAGATTCTACGGTATTTTACATAGCTTTTACGTGTTGTTGTGACGAATTTGAATTGATTAAAGTAATTTTGTGAATTTGAGGACTGGTATTTCTACAAACGCTTATTGCCAGGAATGGTTCGCTACAGGTGATTCTAAGTTTTCATGTCTAATATGACAATATAACGTAAAGAGTTTCAAATATTGCATTTTGTCAAATACTTGGTGCCATCGATTTTAAAGTGAACATTTTAAAAAGATAGTTTTTAATTTTCTAATTTATTCAACTTCAAGTAATTTAATATTCAAATGATCTATTTCAAATATGATACCATGGATTCTAGGATATCACTATTTATGTTTAAAAGGATGAGGTAAACTTATTTTAGAAGATATATTTAAGTTATGGTCAAAGATTATTATAATTTCAATAATGGTTATACTCAAATAATTCTTAGGTCAGCCTGCGTTTTGAAGATAACGAAATGCTTTCGGCTCGAGATATCTTTGATGAATAACCGTTGAAACTAAATCCTTCTAAAGATGTTGAGACTTTCAGCAAACTAGAATTTTTCGACAGATACTCCAAAGCCCCGGTCGATAAGATAGGAAAAGGATGCGCTCTTAGAATATTATCTCATCCTCGTCCACCATTGTTTGCCACTGATTATAGCCTGTACTACCCTCCCCAGAAACATCACTCACTTCCCCACGCATTAAGCATTCTTGCTGCTGTTATCACCAGACACACCTCCTCCAAAAACACGATTGACTTCCCCTCAGGAAATGTTTTTCCTTTCAATTTCGCTCGTCAAATGTCAGCCGTACTTCCCGGTCATTCGCTTGGCGCTTATCCGAAAATAAATAGTTTTATTTCTGTTTCACGGTAACTAATCAATCTTCCGATAAACGAGATTTAATCAAAATACCTAAAGCACCATTCGCTGTTGAGTCTATTAAATCAATTACAGGAATACATCCTCACGGGGTTAGATCTTTAATTTGACATTGGCTGTTCAAGATTCTATAATTGTTCCATACTTTTGGTTCAAGCGCATTTAAGTTAAGGTACTTTTTCACGGAATAATTGAAGACGTCTCTAAAGGTAGAGTTTTAAGAATCTATATTTTCCAGTATATTGTTTGTATCACATTTGCATCTTCGCTCTACATCAGTGTTTCCCAACGTGGGGCCGTCGCCTCACAAGTAGTCCATTTGATTTTTAAGGGGGGCAATTTGAAATATCACTTCATATATTTCACAATAATTACGCACGTAAACAAAATAGCAAAATTATAATAAATATTATAATATAATATTATAATATAATATTAAAAATTATATATATGCTGCATAGCGGGGCATAAGAATTTTAGAAAGGCTTAGGTGGAGCATGGCACAAAAAAGGTTGGGAAACATTGCTCTACATGCTTACTTTCTAAATCAGAGATGCTCGACTCAATGATGCAAAGTAGTTAACAATACAAACACAGGGATATATTGAATAAAGCAAAAACTAAAAATTCGAACTAAAACTTCTGATACAATTAACATTAGAACTACCAGATGGGTCAAAATGACCCATTCCTTGATTGTTTTTTTGCGATCACTGAAAAAGTACGAATACCTCTTTGAAAAATGACTAAAGAAATTGATTAACTTAAACTGAAATATAAGTCAATTGAAATCTTAATAAATTCATGCTTTTAGATTTTATAAAGACATTTTAAAAAGACGGTTTAAATGTTCGGTAGTCCTTATATTAACAATCTCAATCATAGGAACGTATTGAATAGAAATTCAAACTACAAGACTAAAACTAATAGCTAGAACTAACACTTTTCAGATGCAGTCTATTTAATTCGTCATTTCGGCTAATAGATCTTTTCTTTAGAAAGAGCCTCAATTTTACCAGCACGTTAGACTAATCGTAATGTAAGGGTAGGATGGTGTGTAAATTAAAAATATTAAGCTATCCTAGAAGTTTCTTTTGTAGTCTAATTGTAATTTGGGGGAAGGAAAGAACGATTGGAAGGTAGAATAGATTGAAGTTACGTAATAAGACAAAATGTTGTGCATTGATTATATTAATCAAATGAAAGGTACTTTTGGGACAACCTAATATAAATTCAGAAATGGAGGAAATATCTTTCTCCGGAAAGAAGCGATGGTCAGCGACTAGGTACATGAATAATCATAAACTGAAACATTCTGTATATTGGATTTAGCTATCCTGGAAACTCACTTGGTATACTGTAGAAGCCGCCGGATGAGGTGCGTACGAGACAGGACGGCTGGAGATCGGGATCACGCTCGTGGTCGCTAGCTCCGTGACTTCCTGGCAATCTTCCGTTGACACGACTCATTGTAGGGTTACGGGGAGGCACATCGGGAGGTCCCCGTGGCGCCGAATTGTCCAACAAACACCCTGTAATTCAATAAACACTACATAAGTCATTTATTCGATCCTTGAGGGACATACTTTACGATCTATCAATTTGTATTTCTAATTATTTCAGACAGCTGTACTTATTTTGTCATATTCACAAATGACAAATCAATTGTTTAGAAACCAAAGTGATTAACACCATTCTTCGAATGTTCCGAAATTTTAGTGTTAAAATACTTGATTGTGTCTTTAAGTATGTAATTTTATCAAATTTTTCTACTTTTCATTTTGTCAAGTGAATCCTTTCTGTACATGAATTACTCAAATAACAATATACGGTGGGACTTTTTTAATAATATTGCTGTAATGTAGTAAAAAAATAAAAAATATTTTAAGACTCTTTGTTTTTAACTTTTTAGTAATAGTATGTTTCGTTAATTATTGTTATTCGACGATATGTCTCAATTCGACAATGTACACTTGGATAATGAGCGTAAAAGCATATTGTTGACACCAGGTTGCTAAGCAACGATTGCAGTTTGAAATATATGACGATCTCTGATGCTAATGTTGGTTTTGGAGCATCGATAGTCCGTATGTGAAACGGTTGTTACTATTTATGTTTACAGTCGTTGAGGAATTAACACGCTAATGAGGTTAATTACCGTAAAAGTGTTTTTACTTTTTACGACATCCGTCTGGGAAATTAGTTTTACGAGTTCGTATAACTCGGGAACAAAACCATTTCGATGAACGACACGAATATAACTTACTTAACCCTGCACTATATTTAATGGATTCAAAATCATGTAAGTGTCTTTCGGCTGCAGCTGCTGCAATATTTCATAGCAAAAGCTGTGTTCGAATGTTACTCATCGCGATCCATATAAATTCACCTATAAATATGCATAACGTTATTTACAATTAACACTAAACCTACCGAATATTTCATGTGATTCGTATATTTTTCTTATAAAAATTATACAAGTATACTTTTTAAGTTTCTATTACTGTTCGAGTAATTTCCAATATTTCACATTTCTATCATTTCAATGATCACATAATAAATGTATATTTTAAATGTATACTTAAACCTTTTGCATTCGATAGGCGACTCTCGGTCACCACTGAATTCGATATAATAAAATTATAAAATCTTAGGTTCTATGTAATACATCCAACGTGAAATATCGAAATAAAGTAGCTTTGATTCTTGATATATGTATGTTCTCTCAGTTGTTTATTTCAAAGAATGTCGTTTATATTGCATTAAGAAATATTGAATATTTGTAGTGAAGAACTTTCAAGTGCAAAGGGTTATTAACCGTTTGAGTCCCACGGATGTTCGCAAAAGCTCTCCTGAAAAATACCAATGATCGCGCTTCTTTCGTTTTAATTCAGAAACGGAATAACGCTTTTCTATTTTTACAAAAACAAATTTTAAATAGCACGATCGTTACATTTTTTCAGTTCTAATCATGTAATAAAAAAAATAAGGATGAATAATTAAAAGGAAAACAAATAAATAAGCTTCATCTGAGTCTACGAACCGATAGAATGGCACTTTTAGGCAGTGTAACGGAGAAGCGCGATCGCGCCGCTTGGGACACAAACGGTTAATAAATTAAATATTATTTCATTTGAACCAAACGCTATATTTCATAAACTTCAAGGAAACAATTGGAAACGTATCTGTGAACGTAATCAGAAACAGTTTAAATAATCATCGATCGTGGGGAAACGTTTTCGGAGAAGTTTTAGCGCCCTTGGCCTAACGCTGCGGTCTAGATTACCTAACCTGGGTCTACTCTTCTTCGAGATTCACCGGCGAACAATGGCTACGCGTAATCCTGGGCAGGTGGCCAGGCGATTTTCACAGAGGCGAAAGGGTTGAGCCGATCTTGCGATTAGGCACGTTTCACACAACCAGGCTTTCGCCGCTACAGGGATTACCGCGACCTGGAGTGACCCAGAATCGCGTACGGTCTACTCCTGTGCCTAGTGGTGCGAAATGAACATTTTTTTAAGGCAACCTACAGCTTTGTCGCTAACCACAGAGTATAACAATGTCATTGATTTCCTTTCGTCTCTTTTCTTCTGCACTCGAAAAGTTCCCCTTCGACGTCAAGGCTGCATTAGCACTCTTTGTGGGTACGGTTCTGTTAATCTTTTTCACAAAGATTGATTCACCGATTTGTCATTCGATGGTATTTCTTAGATGCATCAAAAGTTTCTCTAACACTAAGTTCACTCGTATAATGCCGATGAAGTTTCTTAAGTACTCTTTTAACCATTTTGTTTTTTTATGACACAAGAACCAACCGGATGGATGAAAATAATCTATTTTGGATTTTTTCTTTAGAATTATTGGAAAAATGTAAGCACATTTTTATGAAGTTTTTAAATTAGTTTAATAATGCGTAAACTAGAAAATAAGTAAATATAAGTAATATGAGAAACGATTAGTTTGTTGACTCGGAAGTTCTAGTGATGAAATCAACCCCAATGTATTCGTTTATTAATTTTTCATTTCCATAAAATATAATGCTTAGTCAGTCTTCGATGTTTTCGTAGGGTTAATGAAAAAAGTATTTAACAGATTGAAGAAATCGAAGGTCGGTACTGTTTACGAGGATTTGCAGAATCGAATGCGTCCTCAGGATTCATCGACTCTAATACTCCATAAATTTAGTTTTACGTAGCCGGCTGTTCGTTTTTAGATTTCCTCGAAGCCGATACGAAAAGTGGAGCAGTTGGCGGCATCCTTAAGTCGATTATAAGACCAGTCGGTGCTCGGATTTGGAGCACCACGACCTTTTATTGTATCAAACAATCCAAAAAGGCTAAGAAGAGAGATCCGGATAGGGTGACCAACGAGAAATTTGAGCTTCACTCTTTTTTTTACGTTCACTATTAACCAATGAACTGGATCCTATAGAATCTTTTTTTCTTTTTGTTCGCAAAGGGAACATCCTCCCGGCGTTCGATGAAGAACGCGACAGGAAGCGAGGGCGTCGAAATGGAAGAACAAGGAAGAAGAAGAGAGAAGACATGGTTAATACCGTACTGTGCAATTTTCTTCGCAATTACGCTCATTAAATTTATTACACTATCAGCCATTCCTAAATACAATAAATAACATTAATTTTCACTAATCCCTCAACGACAACATCGTATCTCTTCTGGACTGACGTCTTGCATAACTTCGAATTTCATTACTTTTTCTTATGTTATCTCTTTACGCTTGCTATGTTTACTTATATTTAAAAATTCTTGAGGCTAGATTCTCATAATAATATTAATTAATAAATTACTCATAAGTTAATAACAACTAATAATAATATTAATATCAATAAGTGTGCAAATACACGACTTAGGGATAGAATAAGGTAACGTACCGTTAATGAAGGGTTAATATACGATCTAAAGATCCTCATCATGAGTCTGACTCGTTTATACGGCAAGCAGTTAAGAACGAAAAAACCATTTACTCCGAAGCATTCCCCAATTTTCGTCTAATCCCTGACAAACTTCGATTTGAGCTCCGTTTGCGCGATCTCCCGCCCCATCCCTTTGCCCGGCGCTTCAAGCAAGAGCACTCGAGACCCTTTTACGATCAAAGTTTCTCGGTTTCGACATTTTCCCGCGGGGAAAGCGCCATTTTGGCATTACTACCGACGTGCATTACTATCGGTTCACAGAGGAAGCCCCGGACATGTAAATTGCTATGACACCGCAACGCGCCGCCGAATCGGGAGGGCGTTTCGGATGGGATTGCTCCGAATTTGTTTTATTGCGGTTGGATTTTTATTATCTGACCAAGGGAATTTTATGTTCCCCTGTTTATGTGGATCGAAACGGTCCATGATCGGCGGCATGGCGCGTATTATTAAATCACGTACGCCATTTTAACATATGGTTGTTCGACGATTTATATGCGTTTACTGCTGCCGATCTAGCAAAGTGCCGAGTTCAGGAACGAAATATATACTTATTTTATGATTTACGCGAGAATTTTTCCATGAGATTTCTCTTTCACCTGGAAAAATGCTATGTTCGTTTAAGCATTACTTTCTGATCACTATTTTGTTTTACACAACTTCCTTCCGTGGGAACTAAACAACAGGAATCGAATTTAAGAATAGGCTTCTGTAATTCACGAAGAACGTTAATAGGAAAGTTCGCATAGAATCTGAAGAAACTTGAACTTCGCGAATTCGTCGAATTTCTACACTGAAAGTGTTCCACAATATTTGTTAACACTAAAACTATTGAGCAATCGAATCGTCTTTTCCTAATTTTCTCATTGAAACGCTAAAAGTGCATCTACTAGATTTCGACTAATTTATAATTCTGTTTGCGAAAACAATTTCTTCAGTGGTTCCTCAGAGAATAATTTGTTATCATTTCATTATCTGAAAAAGAAGCAATCAGGAATGGGTCATTTTGACCCGTCTGATAGTTCTATTGTGAAACAACAATTTATAAAAGCACATAAAAAATCGCATCGAAACTTTCAAACGACTATGTCCTATCGATCGCGCTTCAGATTCGCCGACGCCTAACGTGTCAACAGCTTCCCTGACATTCCAATAATCGGAGAAAAGCTATCGAAGGAACACCTAGGACTCGCATTAATCGATCAGACGGAACACACGGAATAAAGAGACTTCCCGAGACACGATCTCGCCCAGTTGTCAACGGCAAAGCGTCTTTGTATCGAGCCACGGCGCGAAAGATAGCTCTTAGACTTTGGTCCCGGCGAATCCAGCGAGGCGTAAGTCGCATGCGGCACGTCGTTATTCTTTCTAATAGATCGGCGGGAGTAGTCATTGTGCCGGTCGTTACTTCGAAGATCCATTCTTCTTGATCGGTGCGTAGGGTCGCGTCAAAGAAAGCAAAAGAGCAACGGGAGGGAAAGAGGGAGAACGGAAGGCGGAGCGTGAAAGTGAAGAAGAGCGAAAGCTGGAACGAGGACTCTGTAACCTCGACAAAAGACGCGGCAACGGGCAGAGAAGCTACCGCTATCCGGTAATCCA